CACAGCGCGCATCACGTGCTCAAACTCATCAAAAGTCAACAAGTTCCACAAGCAACAATGACTTATCCAAGTGACTGCTGCAGAACGCACGCGCGAGAGAGAGACGAGGCAGCGCAGATCGCGCGTCTCATAAGTGAGTGGGAATTTACCGAATGTGGCACTTGCGGGAGTTTACACTGTATGCAATACCCGCAACCTCACACCAAATTTCAGGCCGTGTAGATAGGCAAGCATATATACAAATCATTTAGTAAGCAGAAATCCGAAATTTATCTTAACATATTAAGTTAGAGGAAGATGCGACTGAATTGATGCTTGAAGAATGCGCTTGCAGCAGCCATGATAAACAGTTGGCGGTTAAAGTTTTCTATGCACAATTTGATTTGACGAATGTCACGAGACCTATTATTCTCTATCCAATCACGTTGATGGATAAAAATTAAATTAAAATAAGCATGTAACGACCACAAACGGAGGAAAATAGCGGAGTAAAAGTACCAATACATCACTTAAAATGTACTCAAGTAAAAGTAAAAGTACACAATTTTTAAACTACTCAAAAAAGTACAATTACTGATAAAAACTACTTAATTACTGTAACGTGAGTATTTGTAATTAGTTACTTCACACCCCTGCATATAGTGTATTTGTCCATATAGCATAAGGAAAAAAAGTCAGAATTGTAAGATGTAAAAACTCACAATGACAAGTTTATAACTTGCAATTTCAAGATATAAACTCACAATTGTGATAAAAGTCAGAATTGTGAGAAAAAACTTTTTGTGGGTGAAAGATTTCCCCACGCAGATTTCACAACAGTCACAGCGTTCATCAAAAGAAAGCTGCTTGTGCTGAGGTTTCAAACCTCAACACAAATGATTGACGGAAACTCTACTTCAATTTGACTGAATAATCTTTATTAATTCACCAGATATAACACAAATAACTTGATATTTCTTCCCAGCCTGCTATATCATCTCCAAAACTGCTACTCCAGAACCCTCGACACTGTAAACCCAACCTCTCAAATTATAGGAAAAACAAGCTAATTGTGGTGCCATTTTATGCGTTAACAATAAAATGGAGCTTTTATGATTTGGTGTTATCTGCAAACTACAGCACTGCAAAACTGAGGGTAAAGCTGACGTATTGCAACAAATCTGGAGTTGGTGGGTGGAGAGCAAAGCAGAGGAAGCTGCAGTCTGGTTCTGGAATGAAGCTGTGTTTGAACAAGCCGCACTGGGATCAGTATGAGCTCTGGTTCTGGTTCCTGTATCCTCCTCGCTGGTAGTTCTGTCTCTGCTGGTAACCGCCTTTTTGATCTACAGCAGTGACAGAGAAGAGAAAAACACACCCATATTGAGTTTCAGAAGTCATATGTGCAGCATTTACAGTTCATATCAAGAGACTGAAGCTGCTTAGAGGTTGACAAAGGAAGAACGAGAGAGAGTGAGCTAGAGAAAGTGAAGAAGGTGTCTTTGGAAACCAGATGAATAGCAGAAATGAGTGAACTGGTGAGTTGAGGTGGATGAAGGAATGACTGAATGATTGAACATGTTCATAACCACCTCGTTGGTAACCTTGCTTCTGTTGGTAACCTCCCCTCTGGTCTGGAGCTGCATAGTGAAAAGTGTTTAGAGACACAGGCGCACATGGACTTTAACTTATATAAAAAAAGCACTTGAACACACACTTTGGCAGCAACATTTCACAGCAGCTGTGTCGAGTGGACACAAGCGAGAAGCACACGAGAGTACAATCTGAATGTGTGTGGGCTGTCATATGCATGGTTGTGCGTGTGTGTGTATTCAGATGGCTGCGCGAATGATAATTACCTCTCTGGTAGTTCTGCTTCTGTTGGTAACCTCCTTTTTGATCTGTGTGAGAGAAAGAGAGGTTTAAGTGATTTGAAATGAAGTTATGGAGGTTCAGCTCAATTAAAAACAAACAAGTACATAAATATATTTTATTTCTTTATTTTATGTAAGTGTATTTATACATAATTATAAAGCAAATCATCTTAGTAAATTTTATACATACATATACATATATAATTTACTAAGATGATTTGCTTTATAATTATATACACGTGTGTGTGTATATATATATATATATATTAGAGCCCGACCGATAAGGGTTTTTTGGGGGCCGATGCCGATATTAGGGAGTAAAAAAAGACCGATACCGATAAATCGGCCAATATTCTTTATGTGTTCCCATTCGTGTGTCCAAACTTTTGACTGGTACTGTATATAGAATACAGTATATAGCCTACATAAACAGAATATATATACATAAACACATTTTTTGCAATGATAACTCAAATGTGGTGATCAAACACTTATAATGATGTGACAAACATAGGCCTATGTAGTGGAGGCAGGGTATTTAACAATTTAACAATAAACTTTCTTCAAAATGAGTCTGACATCAGTGCACTTAACAGTAAACTTCACTTATTTATTATAAATAACTTAAATAACACAAATAAAACAAAATATATATAACTTGAATTAAGAAATTAAACAAGGTAACTAGAGTGGCCTTTTATTGTGGGCAGCTTAAGGCACACCTGTGCAATAATCATGTTGTCTAATCAGCATCTTGATATGCCTCACCTGTGAGGTGGATGGATTATCTTGGCAAAGGAGAAGTGCTCACTAACACAGATTTAGACAGATTTGTGAACAATATTTGAGAGAAATAGGCCTTTTGTGTACATAGAAAAAGTCTTAGATCTTTGAGTTCAGCTCATGAAAAATGGGGGCAAAAACAAAAGTGTTGCGTTTATAATTTTGTTCAGTGTATATATATAAACTTAATTAATTTACTAAATGAATTAATATTAATATTATATTATCATTAATATATTGCAAATATAAAT